ATGATATTCAAAGCTATAAAGAAAAAAATCTTAAATAGTGTATCGATAAGCCTAGACGGGGGAAATTGAAAAGGGTAAAAAGAAACAACATTTTTGGGAGTCATCATCGTTGAGGATCTGAGTTGTAAATCTCACAGACACTGTACATAAGGAAAATTAGCCAAATCACTTGGTGTTTTACACTTTCCAAACCACTCAGCATTACTGACCTTAGATAATACAATGATTATACCGACCTCACCTATGTTGTTAACATTTGGAGACAACGTTTAAAACACATACACTGCCTATAGTTATTTTACATAAAAAGAGCAAAAGGAAAATATATCGAGATTCATCAAATCCTGTTTTTGAGTGCTTGGTGTTAAAATTGTATGTTATAGTGGATTATACTATTTATCATACATTGTATAAGGTAAATTGGAACACATTAGCAGAAAACATCTACGAAAACACCGCTCAGCATTACTGACCTTAGATACTACAATGATTATACCGACCTCACCTATGTTGTCAACATTTGGAGACAACGTTTAACACAGCCTATAGTTAAAAAAGACCAGAAGGAAAATATATCGAGATTCATTAAATCCTGTTTTTGAGTGCTTGGTGTTAAAATTATATGTTATAGTGGATTATACTATTTATCCTACATTGTATACGGTAAATTGCAAAACATTAGCAGAAAACATCTACGAGAACTTTGGAAAAAAAAAGACAAAGTCGATACAATCTGTTAGTAACTGACATCTTTAATAAAAACTATATTCAGAACTAAATTCATGGGAAGAATGGTCTCAGTGGAAGGAATCAACTTAACAAAGACATTAAAGAGTCAAAATAAAAATCATGGTTTTTAAGAAACAACAAAACTACTATACTCAATAAATATGAGAGTGTTACATAATAAGAAAATCTGGATTTTAATTAATGGTTTGTGTTTTGGTAAAATGTTGTACATAATGTTTAATTAATGGTTTGTGTTTTGGTAAAATGTTGTACATAATGTTTAATTACTGGTTTGTGTTTTGGTAAAATGTTGTACATAATGTTTAAGGTATGTAATATGGTTGTTTAATCAGTCTTTAAGATGACTATTTATGGTAACAAGTGTCAATTGTATATCTGAGAGATGTACGCCTTTAAATCATTTGATCTCGCGTAAAAGAAAACCTGTACCAAGGACCCTAGTTTCACATCTACCTACTCTGTTTCAAACTGTGTACATATATGTATATAGGGTTCTTATTTTTATTGTATTGGACAATTAAATTGATATAGAGACTACTACCTTATGAATAGGGTTAGGATTATAACGCATGAATTACGATTGATAAACGCGACTAAAAATATATGTGTTTTTTGCTCCACGGAACCTTTGTCATCAGGTGAGTTTCACACGGATCGTTCATACTGGTGTACCAGTTGGAAAATAACAACTATCCCCCTATTGTTTTAGTGCAACACTCTGGGCCACATGATAAGGTTATCACACATACACACACACACACACACACACACACACACCTAAGTGTCGCTCTTTCAGAGTTTGGATGCAGTACCTCTTGTTACAGAAAAAATAAAAAAACACCTATACAATACAATACAATTTAGTCTTGTATAGCCCTAAATCACAACTGTAGTCATCTCAGAGGACTTACCAAAAACTACTGAAAATCACCAACACAGATCGGAGAATCAGCAGTTAAAACACATAAAGACTATAGACCACTACATGTTGTAGAATATTAAAAGTGTCCTGGCTCATCACCATAGTCCTTCTAGTTTCTCAATAACTGTGTAACAAACCCATCCTGCATCAGCAAGGAAAAACTCATATGAAAAAAAGTTTGAGATCTTTGAGGAGTAGGCATTGCTGGTTTGGTGTAGAAAAAAAGTTATTCTTATGTGTAATCAGAGGCCTATATAGGGTCTCCTTAAACAGAGCAACCTATCACAAACCCTCCTCAGTCTAATAGGACGGTGTAAACAGACCTCCCACCCATTCTGATTTGTTGTTAGTACGCCCTCCCAACCGTTCATTATGATAACACTATCACACAAACACACCTAAGTGTCGTTAACAGGTCCTCCCCTGCAGCTTAGCTATTCCTAACTGTTTTAGAATAAACCGTGATCATAAATCACTTTAGACAACTGTGAAGCATTTACTTTATCACACACACACAGGGTCAACAGAATCTAACTCATTAAAACTCTTTGAAAAATACCGTGCAGTAACACCTTTCACCACTTGCTCAAGAGCGCCGTCCCCTTTCTGGGGAGTTTTAGGGTGCAGTACCACCTTTTCACCACTTGCTCAATACTGGTGTCTTATATATCTACTTAGGGACATTAGCATGGTACAGATGCGGCAGTTTGGAGGACAAGGCACCCTAACTACGCGTTTTGAAAACTGCCTGAGATACCCGAAAAAGAGCGTGATTTCCTGCCGTTTAGGGTGACGAAAATCTAACTTTTCATGCAGTGCCTTATACTGTAGTCGCTCATACAGGCTCCAAACTTTCCAGTCTTGGACGTAACAATATTTAGAAGGTTTTTTCAGAGGGATTTTTTAATAGCCTAGCCTGATTTATTCAGCTTTGAACCCAAAAAAACAGGCGGAATTGTTCGTATGACTGAGGCTGGTTCGATCTACTGGACGTTTGGGTAAGGCAAGCGCACAAGTTAAAGCTGCGTAGGAACTGAACTGTATTGAACTAGATTGACCAGGGCTCGAGTCCACAGGAATGTCGAAAATCCAGTTTATCTCGAAGCACCAGTGAAGTACCCGGTCAAAATGCATGTTTGCTGCTGGCTATCCCATACTGTAGAAGAAGTCTGAAAGGAACTTTTGAGAAGAAGTGTTTTTATTAAAAAATAAGAAGTAAAAATAAGTAATAAAGTAAAATACAATTGTATTGTTATAGTACTTACAATACAGTGCAGTAAGTTAGTACAGTGTTTTACAGAGTCAATCCTTTGACTTTAAACCACGTTTTGATAGGTCCGAAGTGAGCAACAAACCTTGGCACAGTCTTGTTTGTCAAACGGCCGCTATTGTAAAACACACAACTCACACTGAGAGAGGGATTCAGACTGCAGACATCACTTAAGTCCAAACTTCCAGAAGTCCAGGACTTCCCTTGTACTGCTTTTGTAATGAGCTTGATAAACATGTAAAACTTTAAATACAATTGGAATTCAACTCCACAATCAGCACCAACCAAACTGCAGGAATAAAAATGCCAATTTTACAACATGACATTTCCTTTTGACAAGGAAAGAAGATAACAAGCTGATAACGTTACGTAATTGCACACAAGCAACCAAAAGGTGTGCAACCAAAACTGCCTCAGACAAGAATCGAGCCCGGATTCCCCGGGTCCTAACCTGCAACGCTAACCGTAGTATCACTAGGCAAGTTAAGTTTGCACGCAGCTTTAATACCTGAGCGTTTAAGTCGCTGGCAGAGCTAAAGCGGACTTAACCTGCCACCTTGTGGCGATAAGATGTAATATGTTTCACGCAGCTGCGTGATTCATGAAAAGCGTGAGTGAAGACGACAAAACGAAATGGGACATACTGTAACAAAAGGTCCGAACGAGGTCCGAACACAATCCGAACGAGATCAAAGGCTTTTCGGCAAAGTCCGAACGCAGTCCGAACATACAGAAGGTCACGTGACGTTATCTGACGAAAATGGAGCGAGAGAACGGTAAGTGATGACACTTCATTAGTTCTCACAAACGCCTCATATAAACTGAATATCATCGCAATCCCACACATGAGCCGAACGTAAAAACCACATATTAGCCCAATGTTAAACTGTGGGAAAAAAACTAGACTATCGTATTAGCATGTTATTAAATTTATATTTCAACTCTCGGAGCCGCTTTTCAAACCTAACTTCTGACTGTATACGTATTAGCACTGTGTGGCTATTATTCTTATTACTGTTATTCCTATCACCATTATTACTATATTATTACTATTGTAGAGAACAGCCGCGATCGCACCTGTAACCACAGTTATTATTCTTATTACTGTAACCCCAGTTATTATTCTTATTACTGTAACCACAGTTATTATTCTTATTACTGTAACCCCAGTTATTATTCTTATTACTGTAACCCCAGTTATTATTCTTATTACTGTAACCCCAGTTATTATTCTTATTACTGTAACCCCAGTTATTATTCTTATTACTGTAACCCCAGTTATTATTCTTATTACTGTAACCCCAGATATTATTCTTATTACTGTAACCCCAGTTATTATTCTTATTACTGTAACCACAGTTATTATTCTTATTACTGTAACCCCAGTTACAGGTTATTTACGAGTCCTTCCAGATGAACAAAGGCAGACAGAACTTTGAATATGATGTGTGTCAATGTGGATGAGAACAGAGACGTCATCACTTAGATATTATTGACGCATTAATGACTAGTAGCAATGTGGGTTAGAACAAATACCTTCAGATAATTATGTTTAGCAGTAATACAGTAATTACAGAGCTCCAAAGTCCAACACATATAGATTCCACACTATAAATTACTATTATTATTGCTGGTCAGAGGAATAGTATTTTTTCTTTAATAGAGCCTGGTCATCAAATCAAAACAAATGTATTTTTATAGCACATTACTAACAACTGTTGTTGACAAAAGAGCTTCACAAAAAGGTGCACAACAGGAAAATGATGAACAATATACAATATGAGCTCAGATTTTGCCCTTGATGTGTGCCACAGTGTTTATTTCTTTGTCATGTGTCTGAGCAGAGCCAACAGTTGATCTGCCCCAGAATCAATATCTCCAATACATAGCTACTTACTGTAGTGTATTCACTACACTAGCTACACTAGCTACACATGGCTACTTAACATGGTCATTTATTTATGTTTAGTGACTTTGGTTTGATATCTACTCTGCTGCACATGGCTAACTATTCACGTGTAGTTTGACACTAACCGCTTTTATATTCAATGGATGCAGATGACAAAGACAGGAAAGCCAGAGAGTTACTGGAGGGACATCTGTGCCAAATATGCCCAGGGCCTCTACCACTTTTCCACTGGCAAACGGCCAGGGGCCAAAAAATGGAAGAAAGCCTTGGAGAGGATCGATGCTTGCCCCCTGCAGAGCAACACGAAGGATCTGTTTGGGAGAAGCTTTCAGTGCACCTGCGGGTTCCACAAGGTAGGACTCATTATTTACTTATTGATTGATTGTTTGCTGTTTCCTCTGGTGTTGATTTTCTGTGCTCTTTCCTAGCCAGCACATCTGTCATCAGGCACTGGGTTCAGTGCTGCTGGGTCCAGTGGTGCTGCTGCGTCCAGTGGTCCTGCTGCGTCCAGTGCTGCTGGGTCCAGTCGGGCTGGGACCAGTGCTGCTGCTGGGTCTACTGGTGCTGCTGCGTCCAGTGGGGCTGCTGCGTCCATCCGAGTCAGCACAGAGGAAGAGGGAGTCCGAGGAGACACAGAGGCAGGAGCATCAGCTGCAGCACCCGGAGGGCAGTGCTTCCAGTGCAAGCAGCTTGTGGATGGAGAGCACTTTTCACAGCATCTGCTTGACCATCACACGGAGGAGACCTGTGACAGCTGCGGGGCCAAGGTGCAGGGTGCTGTTGGTCTTCTGACTCACATCCAACAGGCTCATTATGCAGCACTCATGAAGCCATCCCCACAAAAACCAACTGTGTTGCCACCGACACCAGCACCAACACCATCTCCAACACCATCTCCAGCACCATCACCAGCACCATCTCCGCTCCCCTCATGCAGTTCTGCCATGCCACCCCACACTCCGTTCAAAGCACCATCCATTAACTGGAAAGGCTTTCTTCCTGAGCCATTTAGGAGAGTGATCCAGGAAGCAGATCAGGTCTGGATAGCTAAGTGCCTTTATGGACCTACAGGACAATTAAAACAGAAGCTCCAAACCATCTCCTCCTGAGCCTGGCTGGTACTGTAGACAAAGGCTGTTCATCTGGGCACAAATGAGGATGTGGGGGATTCCTCTAAAATGCCCTCAATGTTCCCGAAAGATGAACAGCTCGGGCATCTACAGGAAGGTGAGAGAGGTGATTGACTTGGATAGTCGCTACTACCTGGTGGGAGGAGACTATCCACGTTGCAACAAGTGCGCTCTGCCGGTCTGCCCATGGAGCCAGGACATCCTCTCGCAGCTGGATGTAGCCCACAGGAGCATGTTTCCCGCTGTCCTCACTACACACCTGGCTCTGGACAGGAAATGTATGACCTTCCTGAAGCCGAGGACCAGCGGAAACAGCTCCTCCTACTTCCAAGCGGCAATAGAGGAAGTGCACAGCGAGGAGTGGGCACGTCAGGCCATCCGATACCTCTCGGACTGTGAGAGCCATCAGAAGATGGCCACCTTTGTCCCCTCTGCAGCTGCCTATCCTCCTCCACTGCCCTTTAGGCCCCTTCCACTTGCTCAGTGGTTTGAGACTGTCCACTCCAACGACATCCTCAGCCATCTGGAGGAAATGAAGGGAGTCATCACTTCTACCTATGGTAGAATTCTTAAGATGGATTCGACCAAGAAGGTTAGGGTTTGAATAATAATAATTTAAAAAATGAAATGTAACATATATATTTACAAAAGATAAATGTATTTACTTCTTGTGTTTGGATTACAGGTCACCAAGAAGCTGGCTGGTGGAATATGGGGCAGCGCTGCATGGATGACAAACATCGGTAACGAGTTTGGGCAGGTTCTGAACTCTGTTCTGACGACGGGTGAAGGTGCAGGGTTGGAAGAGCTGTGCCAGGGCATTGTCACCCGTTATAAGAACGTGGGCAAAGATGAACCTGAGGTCATCTATGTGGACCGGGACTGCTGCAGCCAGTCAGGTAACTGAACATGTCTCCTTTATCAAATACATGTGGAAAAACTGTGCCTCTGCATCTCAGTCTCTCACTCACCTCTCCCTCATTCAACACACAAACATGCAGGGACACACACACATATATACATACACATACATGCAGAGACACACATACACACATGCAGAGACACACACACTCAGACACATACACAGACAGGCACACACACACATACATGCAGAGACACACACACTCAGACATATACACAGACAGGCACACACACACTGTTAGAACATGTTCATTGTGTTGTGAATGTCATTAAAATGGCTGTCTCTCACAGGTGTGTCTTCTGTGACCAAACTGTTCCATCCATGGAGGTCTGCAGTGCGCTTGGACAGTTTTCACTTTATGAGGCGCTTCAACTGTGGCCTCACCACTAGGGATGTAAATCGGCGACCGGTTAACCGGTGGTTGACCGTCACAGCGTTAACCGGTCAAAGCTGTCGGTTAAAAAAGAGAAAAAGGGGAGAGGGGAGGTCTCTTAATAACGCTATTTTAAGCCCTATTTGCACGGTGTGACGAGCGGGTCCCTATCTAGCTGTGTGCGCCAATGTATTATAAACTCCGGGACGACTCTCACGCCGCACGAGCCACATATGCACACACGCACGCGCGTGCGCACACACACACACACTTTCCCCCTCTCCATACGTAACATCCACACGCATCATCTCTCCCCTCTGTTACCGTCAAAGTTGCACACTGGCGCGGGTCAGAACTACATTGGAGCTTACATTTACATACACACACATATACATACACACACACACATACACACACACACATACACACACACATACCGGTCTGTCGCGCTCCTCTGTGTCACGGAGCCCAAAGGATTCGCGCAAATACGCGGCTCCGGTCAAACACCGCGGTAAAGAGGTCCGGCTTTCCAGAACCAGCGGTAAAGAGGTCCGCACGTAAAAAGAGGGGTGTCACATTATGCTGTTACTTACGGTAACACAGGAAAGCGAAGCCGCGGGGATGGGCCGCCACAATGCATTTTTTAACATGATTCTTTTTTTATACATAAAAAACCTTAGAAAAAGCTTTCACTGCACACTTGTTCACTGTGAAGCCCTCTATTATTGTGCAAAGTCACATTCACTTTTACTGTGGAAATTCCTAGAAAATAGGGGTCAAAGTGTGCAATAATGATCCAAAATGCACTTTTTAACCTGGATTTTTAAAAAAAGTAAAAAACCTTAGAAAAAGCTTTCACTGCACACTTGTTCACTGTGAAGCCCTTTATTATTGTGCAAAGTCACATTCACTTTTACTGTGGAAATTCCTAGAAAATAGGGGTCAAAGTGTGCAATAATGATCCAAAATGCACTTTTTAACCTGGATTTTAAAAAAAAGTAAAAAACCTTAGAAAAAGCTTTCACTGCACACTTGTTCACTGTGATGCCCTCTATTATTGTGCAAAGTCACATTCACTTTTACTGTGGAAATTCCTAGAAAATAGGGGTCAAAGTGTGCAATAATGATCCAAAATGCACTTTTTAACCTGGATTTAAAAAAAAAAAAAAAAAACCTTAGAAAAAGCTTTCACTGCACACTTGTTCACTGTGATGCCCTCTACTATTGTGCAAAGTCACATTCACTTTTACTGTGGAAATTCCTAGAAAATAGGGGTCAAAGTGTGCAATAATGATCCAAAATGCACTTTTTAACCTGGGTTTTAAAAAAAAGTAAAAAACCTTAGAAAAAGCTTTCACTGCACACTTGTTCACTGTGATGCCCTCTTTTATTGTGCAAAGTCACATTCACTTTTACTGTGGGAATTCCAAGAAAATAGGGGTCAAAGTGTGCAAAAATGATCCAAAATGCACTTTTTAACCTGAATTTTAAAAAAAAGTAAAAAACCTTAGAAAAAGCTTTCACTGCACACTTGTTCACTGTGATGCCCTCTATTATTGTGCAAAGTCACATTCACTTTTACTGTGGAAATTCCAAGAAAATAGGGGTCAAAGTGTTCAAAAATGATCCAAAATGCACGTTTTAACCTGGATTTAAAAAAAAAGTAAAAAACCTTAGAAAAAGCTTTCACTGAACACTTGTTCACTGTGATGCCCTCTATTATTGTGCAAAGTCACATTCACTTTTACTGTGGAAATTCCAAGAAAATAGGGGTCAAAGTGTGCAAAAATGATCCAAAATGCACTTTTTAACCTGGATTTTTTAAAAAGAGTAAAAAACCTTAGAAAAAGCTTTCACTGCACACTTGTTCACTGTGATGCCCTCTACTATTGTGCAAAGTCACATTCCCTTTTACTGTGGAAATTCCAAGAAAATAGGGGTCAAAGTGTGCAAAAATGATCCAAAATGCACTTTTTAACCTGGATTTTTAAAAAAAGTAAAAAACCTTAGAAAAAGCTTTCACTGCACACTTGTTCACTGTGATGCCCTCTACTATTGTGCAAAGTCACATTCACTTTTACTGTGGAAATTCCAAGAAAATAGGGGTCAAAGTGTGCAAAAATGATCCAAAATGCACTTTTTAACCTGGATTTAAAAAAAAAGTAAAAAACCTTAGAAAAAGCTTTCACTGCACACTTGTTCACTGTGATGCCCTCTATTATTGTGCAAAGTCACATTCACTTTTACTGTGGAAATTCCAAGAAAATAGGGGTCAAAGTGTGCAAAAATGATCCAAAATGCACTTTTTAACCTGGATTTTAAAAAAAAGTAAAAAACCTTAGAAAAAGCTTTCACTGCACACTTGTTCACTGTAATGCCCTCTTTTATTGTGCAAAGTCACATTCACTTTTACTGTGGAAATTCCAAGAAAATAGGGGTCAAAGTGTGCAATAATGATCCAAAATGCACTTTTTAACCTGGATTTTAAAAAAAAGTAAAAAACCTTAGAAAAAGCTTTCACTGCACACTTGTTCACTGTGGTGCCCTCTTTTATTGTGCAAAGTCACATTCACTTTTACTGTGGAAATTCCAAGAAAATAGGGGTCAAAGTGTGCAAAAATGATCCAAAATGCACTTTTTAACCTGAATTTTAAAAAAAAGTAAAAAACCTTAGAAAAAGCTTTCACTGCACACTTGTTCACTGTGATGCCCTCTATTATTGTGCAAAGTCACATTCACTTTTACTGTGGAAATTCCAAGAAAATAGGGGTCAAAGTGTTCAAAAATGATCCAAAATGCACTTTTTAACCTGGATTTTAAAAAAAAGTAAAAAACCTTAGAAAAAGCTTTCACTGCACACTTGTTCACTGTGATGCCCTCTACTATTGTGCAAAGTCACATTCACTTTTACTGTAGAAATTCCAAGAAAATAGGGGTCAAAGTGTGCAAAAATGATCCAAAATGCACTTTTTAACCTGGATTTAAAAAAAAAGTAAAAAACCTTAGAAAAAGCTTTCACTGCACACTTGTTCACTGTGATGTCCTCTACTACTCTGAAAAGAAATATTCTAAACTTTCACTGTACACTCTCAGAAAAAAAAAAAAACACCAATATTCGTGTCCAATCTTTTTTTATGAACGGATTTGAGAAACCAGTAACCGTGACAGTAAGAAAATAAAAAACATGCATCAAAAGGTTGAGATGCCAGGTTATCTCAATGATTTTTTTGGACACAGGCAGCAATGCCATAACGTTTCTGGCTGTTTTGCTTTTTTCCGCTCACATGGGTTTAAGGCCAAGCACTCCTCATGGTACCATTTTTGGCACATGCTGCATTGTATCTGGAAAAAAGGAAAAATGAATACAAAATACATGAGTATTTTGAAAAATGATGATACAAGATGGCGCCTCGTACGGTCGACATGGCTCTTTGCTGCTCTCTTTTTCTTTTGTTTTTACTTTTTAACTGTGCATCTGGCTGTTCCTACACCCGTGAGGAACTTATGAACATCCGACCCACCGTTCCCATGGACCTATTGCCTGTTTTCTTGGCATCTGCGGCTGATTTAGTTCATGTTCTAGCCAAAAAAGTGTGGGCCCGTAAAAGGGGAAAGCGAGGAGGCCTGCTCGTGCGTCTTAGGAGGAGAGGAGCGCGCACGGCTCTCCCCGGCATTTTTCTCTCCAACGTACGCTCACTGGGCAATAAGATGGACGAACTCAGCCTGCTCATGAGAAGAAACAAGGACTTCGCCACATCCTGTGTCCTCTGCTTCACTGAGACCTGGCTAAATGAGCGGATCCCGGACTGCGCTCTGGAGCTGCAGGGCTTTGGGCTGTTTCGCGCGGATCGCCATTGTGCGCTCTCAGGGAAGAGCAGAGGCGGAGGGCTCTGTTTCTACGTCAATACAAACTGGTGTAACGATGTGACAGTGATCTCCAAGCACTGCTCTCCTGCTCTGGAATATCTTTTCATTCATTGTAAACCATATTACTCCCCGCGGGAAATTGTTTCATTCATTCTTGCCTCTGTTTACATACCGCCATGCGCGGACGCGCGCGAGGCTCAGCGCGCACTCGCAGAGCAAGTACTGTGTATGGAACGCTTATACCCGGACTCTCTGATTATTATCCTGGGGGATTTTAATAAGGGAAACTTGAGCCAGGAATTACCCAAATACAGACAGTTTATCAAATGCCCGACCAGAGAGGAGAACACTCTGGATCACTGTTACACCACCGTGCGCGGAGCTTTTCGCGCTGTTCCCAAGCCAGCCCTCGGCTTCTCAGATCACTCCATGATACATCTGGTTCCTGCTTACAGACAGAGACTAAAGCTCTCGAAACCTGCAGTGAGGAGCTCCAAAGTGTGGTCTGATGAAGCTGTGGAAGAGCTACGCGCATGCATGGAATCTACAGACTGGGACCTTTTCAGAGCTGCCACAGACAGCTTGGATGAATATACGGACACTGTGACGTCATACATCCACTTCTGTGAGGATAGCATCATTCCAACAAGGACCAGGGTCATCTATAACAACGACAAACCCTGGTTCACTGCTAAACTCCGGCAGCTCAGGAAAGCAAAGGAGTCTGCTTTCAGGGAGGGGGACCGCAGCGGCTACAAAGCAGCTAAATATCAGTTCAGGAAAGAACTGAAAGCAGCCAAGTCCCGGCACAGAGAACGACTACAGGAGCAGTTTGGTAACAACGATACTGCTTCTGTCTGGAGGGGCCTACGGGAGATCACCAACTACAAACCCAAAGCCCCCCCCTGTGCTGATGACCACAAGCTAGCTGACGATCTGAACTTATTTTTCAGTCGCTTTGATGCTGCCCCTGACACCTCTCCCTCCCCCACCCCCCACTACTCTAACGACCCACCCATCAGCCCTGCCCCCAGCCTAACAATAGCCGCTAAAGAGATTAAACAACTCTTCCTGAGGCTGCACCCCCGCAAAGCTCCTGGCCCGGACCACGTGTCTCCGGCCACTCTGAGACACTGCGCCAGTGAGCTTACTCCTGTGTTCACGGACATTTTCAACACCTCTCTGCAGTCCTGCCATGTCCCGGCCTGCTTCAAATCCTCCATCATTGTCCCCGTCCCGAAGAAGCCCAGGATCACAGGACTCAATGACTACAGACCTGTAGCACTTACGTCTGTCGTCATGAAGTCATTTGAACGCCTGGTTCTCTCCCATCTCAAGTCCCTCACCTCCCCCCTCCTGGACCCCCTGCAGTTCGCCTACAGAGCCAACAGATCTGTAGACGACGCCATTAACCTGGCCCTCCACCACATCCTACAGCACCTGGACTCCCCGGGGACCTACGCCAGGGTCCTGTTCGTGGACTTCAGCTCTGCCTTCAACACAATCCTGCCATCCCTGCTCCAGGACAAGCTCTCCCAGCTCAACGTGCCCGATTCCACCTGCAGGTGGATCACTGACTTCCTGACGGACAGGAAGCAGCGAGTGCGTCTGGGGAAGAATGTCTCGGACTCTCGGATTATAAATACAGGAGCCCCACAGGGCTGTGTTCTTTCTCCCCTGCTCTTCTCCCTGTACACCAACCACTGCACCTCCAGCCACGACTCCGTGAAGCTGATCAAGTTCGCGGACGACACCACCCTCATTGGACTCATCTCCAACAACGATGAGTCCGCCTACAGGAGGGAGGTGGACCGGCTGGTGTCCTGGTGCAGTGGTAACAACCTGGAGCTGAACGCCCAGAAGACAGTGGAGATGATTGTGGACTTCAGGAAGAGCACTGTCCCCCCGCCCCCACCCTCCGTGATGGACTCCCCCATCACCTCTGTGGAGTCCTTCCGTTTCCTGGGCACCACCATCACCCAGGACCTCAAGTGGGAGCCGACCATCAGCTCCCTCATCAAGAAGGCCCAGCAGAGGATGTACTTCCTGCGGCAGCTCAGGAAAGCCAAGCTGCCTGCACAGATGTTGGTGCAGTTCTACACGGCCATCATCGAGTCCATCCTCACCTCCTCCATCACCGTGTGGTTCGCTGGAGCCACAGTCAGGGACAAACAGAGACTACAGCGCATTGTGCGCTCTGCAGAGGAAGTGATCGGCCGCAGCCTTCCATCGCTGCAGGACCTGTACGTCGCCCGAGCTCGAGGCCGGGCTGGTCGTATCACAGCCGACCCCTCTCACCCTGCACATGGACTATTCCAACCACTCCCCTCAGGCAGGAGGCTGCGGTCCATCAGGACTAGAACCTCCCGCCACAAGAACAGTTTCTTCCCCTCTGCTGTTGGACTCTTGAACACTTCTTAACCTGTCCCCCCGCCCTTTATAAAGTCACTTTACTGCCCATCATACGTCACTTTACTTCACTGTACTGCTGTCACCTTACATTGTGTGCACCATGTGCACTTGTATATTGTAAATAGTAACTGTAACTCTATTTTAAATTTAAATTTATTCTTTAGAAGTGTTTTTTATTCTTATTTTTATTATCTCTTTTTGACTGTTGCACTGAGCCAAAGCAATTTCCAAGTCTGTGACCTCCCGTTACTTACGTTGGCAATAAAAATGATTCTGATTCTGATTCTGATTCTGATTTCTAATGCATTTCTTAGTTTTCTATGAATAGTCCAGAATTGATGACCCTTCAACTGTGCCAAAAGATCTGAAAGAATCCTGCACACATTTATTTGGGTGAATTTGATATTACGATGGACTTCCAAGTCGCTCCTTTCATTTTTTTTCAATTGACGACTGGGACTTAAAGTGATAGTATGCAACTCTAAATGAATTACACATTTTAGGAACTGTGTTAAATTGACCTCCTGGCCTTAAATGTTGATATGAAATAAGTCATTTTATTATTTCTAATTTTACGGGCAAGTCCCACCTTCCCTTCTCTTAGCTATAGCTCAGAATCCACGATGCCATCGAGGTTAACCAATCGAGTCATGCCAAGAGCTGTCAATCATCTGCGCTGATGCTCGTAGCTGCTCATGCTCAGTTGTTTGTTTTCGCGGAGCCTCCGAATCAAGCCTTTAGGCTCTGGAACTACAAGAAAACTGAAAAAAGAATTCTGAACATCCGCGCTGAGGTAAGTAAGTAAGTAAGTAAGTAAGTAAGCTTTTATTTATATACCGCCTTTTCACTGCACATCGGAGTCTCAAAGCGGTTTACAATTGTTGGGTGGGGATCGCCAGTACAGGAGGCACATGCCATACCTATTGTACATATTTTTAGTGGTAGGGGAAACCAGAGCACCCGGAGGAAACCTACGCAGACACGGGGAGAACATGCAAACTCCACTCAGAAAGGCCCTGGTCCAACCGGGATTCGATCCCAGGACCTTCTTGCTGAGAGGCGAGAGTGCTATCCACTCAGCCACCGTGCCGCCCATACCCATATATATACTGAACCTATATCCATAATCATATATATACTGAACCTATATTCATAGTCATATATATACTGAACCTATATCCATAATCAGATATATACTGAACCTATATCCATAATCAGGTCCTCTGCAGATGTGTCCTATAATGTTCAATTCATGATAATAGCTTGTCCCGGGTTTGCCGCGACCTCTTCTTTTGTACATAATTTATTTATTTTTTTCATTAAAACGCTAACAAATCATTCTGAAATCCTCCGTGCATGTGTATTAATGATGTATATGTATAATGTGTTCTCTAATTAACATTTATAAGTGTTAAAGGCACACCGCGGACTTTGTGACCTAAAGAGTTGACACATATGAGTTATTTTATATGAATACTTGGGCCAATATACAGCGCTTGACACTTGCAATGCTCCGAGCGGGGCTGCCCTCTTGAAATACCGGCCATGTAAGTTTCGAGCAGACGGACCGTCTGCCACCAGGTCACGTGACTTGGAAGAAAGACTTGCTTTACGGCTACAGGCGCTGATATACTCATGGAGCTAAGGCTTTTGCTACTCATTTTTCACCTGCTCGACTCCTGGTCATGGCTGAGGCAAGGAAAAATTTTAAACCTTCGGAGGAGGCTAAAAAGAGGAAACGCGAAAGGGATCGTGCTGTAAGCTGCATGTCTGTATGAGCGCTGCTCTTCACCTGGTTCCTGGATGTCATCGACTGCAAAGATGTCATTCCACGCAGCACGAGCTAGACGCAGAACTCCCTCATCCAGGATATAGAAGTCCATGTGTGGTAGATTACTAATGCAGCGGTCTGGAGGCTGACCACAGCAGAGTCTCTCAATATCTGTAGGCATGTCTCTACAGTTTGAACACACACACCAGTGCATGCTGTCTGAATACACACTCAAAAGACACCGGCTGACTGTTGACTTTTGCGACAGTGCTGAGTTGCTTGTGGCCACTAGGGGCGCTAAACGTGAAAGTTGCAGGTCTAGCGCCCCTAGTGGCCAAGAGTTACACGGTGTGCCTTTAAGGAAACGCGAGCGTAGACCAATCAGAAAGGAAGGGGGAGGGAGCTTGCGTCGTTTCTTTCAAATCAAGTACCTCTCTCTCTCTCTTTTTCTGACAAACTGCGGACGATCACTTTAATACTTTATGTTCCTATAGTACAGACAGACTATATAGGCATTGGGCAAATCTTTTTGCATTTTTAGTTTTAGTTTATATGCAAAAAATGACATAAATAAACATAGAACATTCATAAGTTATAAGCTATTACCACCCTAACATTCTCATTTTACTTATCAACTAATGTTTACATTGCACAATAGTAGAGGGCATCACAGTGAACAAGTGTGCGGTGAAAGCTTTTTCTAAGGTTTTTTACTTTTTTTAAAAATCCAGGTTAAAAAGTGCATTTTGGATCATTATTGCACACTTTGACCCCTATTTTCTAGGAATTTCCACAGTAAAAGTGAATGTGACTTTGCACAATAATAGAGGGCATCACAGTGAACAAGTGTGCAGTGAAAGCTTTTTCTAAGGTTTTTTACTTTTTTTTAAAATCCAGGTTAAAAAGTGCATTTTGGATCATTTTTGCACACTTTGACCCCTATTTTCTTGGAATTTCCACAGTAAAAGTGAATGTGACTTTGCACAATAATAGAGGGCATCGCAGTGAACAAGTGTGCAGTGAAAGCTTTTTCTAAGGTTTTTTACTTTTTTTTTAAATCCAGGTTAAAAAGTGCATTTTGGATCATTTTTGCACACTTTGACCCCTATTTTCTTGGAATTTCCACAGTAAAAGTGAATGTGACTTTGCACAATAAAAGAGGGCATCACAGTGAACAAGTGTGCAGTGAAAGCTTTTTCTAAGGTTTTTTACTTTTTTTTAAATCCAGGTTAAAAAGTGCATTTTGGATCATTATTGCACACTTTGACCCCTATTTTCTAGGAATTTCCACAGTAAAAGTGAATGTGACTTTGCACAATAATAGAGGGCATCACAGTGAACAAGTGTGCGGTGAAAGCTTTTTCTAAGGTTTTTTACTTTTTTTAAAAATCCAGGTTAAAAAGTGCATTTTGGATCATTATTGCACACTTTGACCCCTATTTTCTAGGAATTTCCACAGTAAAAGTGAATGTGACTTTGCACAATAATAGAGGGCATCACAGTGAACAAGTGTGCAGTGAAAGCTTTTTCTAAGGTTTTTTACTTTTTTTTAAAATCCAGATTAAAAAGTGCATTTTGGATCATTATTGCACACTTTGACCCCTATTTTCTAGGAATTTCCACAGTAAAAGTGAATGTGACTTTGCACAATAATAAAGGGCTTCACAGTGAACAAGTGTGCAGTGAAAGCTTTTTCTAAGGTTTTTTACTTTTTTTTAAAATCCAGGTTAAAAAGTGCATTTTGGATCATTATTGCACACTTTGACCCCTATTTTCTAGGAATTTCCACAGTAAAAGTGAATGTGACTTTGCACAATAATAGAGGGCATCACAGTGAACAAGTGTGCAGTGAAAGCTTTTTCTAAGGTTTTTTACTTTTTTTAAAATCCAGGTTAAAAAGTGCATTTTGGATCATTATTGCACACTTTGACCCCTATTTTCTAGGAATTTCCACAGTAAAAGTGAATGTGACTTTGCACAATAATAAAGGGCTTCACAGTGAACAAGTGTGCAGTGAAAGCTTTTTCTAAGGTTTTTTACTTTTTTTTTAAAATCCAGGTTAAAAAGTGCATTTTGGATCATTATTGCACACTTTGACCCCTATTTTCTAGGAATTTCCACAGTAAAAGTGAATGTGACTTTGCACAATAATAGAGGGCTTCACAGTGAACAAGTGTGCAGTGAAAGCTTTTTCTAAGGTTTTTTACTTTTTTTTTAAATCCAGGTTAAAAAGTGCATTTTGGATCATTATTGCACACTTTGACCCCTATTTTCTAGGAATTTCCACAGTAAAAGTGAATGTGACTTTGCACAATAATAGAGGGCATCACAGTGAACAAGTGTGCGGTGAAAGCTTTTTCTAAGGTTTTTTACTTTTTTTAAAAATCCAGGTTAAAAAGTGCATTTTGGATCATTATTGCACACTTTGACCCCTATTTTCTAGGAATTTCCACAGTAAAAGTGAATGTGACTTTGCACAATAATAGAGGGCATCACAGTGAACAAGTGTGCAGTGAAAGCTTTTTCTAAGGTTTTTTACTTTTTTTTAAAATCCAGATTAAAAAGTGCATTTTGGATCATTATTGCACACTTTGACCCCTATTTTCTAGGAATTTCCACAGTAAAAGTGAATGTGACTTTGCACAATAATAAAGGGCTTAACAGTGAACAAGTGTGCAGTGAAAGCTTTTTCTAAGGTTTTTTACTTTTTTTTAAAATCCAGGTTAAAAAGTGCATTTTGGATCATTATTGCACACTTTGACCCCTATTTTCTAGGAATTTCCACAGTAAAAGTGAATGTGACTTTGCACAATAATAGAGGGCATCACAGTGAACAAGTGTGCAGTGAAAGCTTTTTCTAAGGTTTTTTACTTTTTTTTAAAATCCAGGTTAAAAAGTGCATTTTGGATCATTATTGCACACTTTGACCCCTATTTTCTAGGAATTTCCACAGTAAAAGTGAATGTGACTTTGCACAATAATAGAGGGCATCACAGTGAACAAGTGTGCGGTGAAAGCTTTTTCTAAGGTTTTTTACTTTTTTTTAAAATCCAGGTTAAAAAGTGCATTTTGGATCATTATTGCACACTTTGACCCCTATTTTCTAGGAATTTCCACAGTAAAAGTGAATGTGACTTTGCACAATAATAGAGGGCATCACAGTGAACAAGTGTGCGGTGAAAGCTTTTTCTAAGGTTTTTTACTTTTTTTTAAAATCCAGGTTAAAAAGTGCATTTTGGATCATTATTGCACACTTTGACCCCTATTTTCTAGGAATTTCCACAGTAAAAGTGGATGTGACTTTGCACAATAATAAAGGGCTTCACAGTGAACAAGTGTGCAGTGAAAGCTTTTTCTAAGGTTTTTTACTTTTTTTTTAAAATCCAGGTTAAAAAGTGCATTTTGGATCATTATTGCACACTTTGACCCCTATTTTCTAGGAATTTCCACAGTAAAAGTGAATGTGACTTTGCACAATAATAGAGGGCTTCACAGTGAACAAGTGTGCAGTGAAAGCTTTTTCTAAGGTTTTTTATGTATAAAAAAAGAATCATGTTAAAAAATGCATTGTGGCGGCCCATCCCCGCGGCTTCGCTTTCCTGTGTTACCGTAAGTAACAGCATAATGTGACACCCCTCTTTTTACGTGCGGACCTCTTTACCGCTGGTTCTGGAAAGCCGGACCTCTTTACCGGGGTCAGTCAAACCACATGGAACATGTTTGTGTTTATGGTCCTCGGGATCAGCTCCACACACATCACTTGTATTTAAACTTTTGTGAAGACCTGTGAGACGCGGCTCGTCACTCGCTGCTCTGACCATGTGGACGAGACATCGTTTGCTGCTAGAAAGTTTTGGTATTAACCCGCAGCACAAAAGAATGGGAAGATTAAAAAAGCAGTTCTCTGTGCGCAAAGGTGCCGGAGCTGTTGTGGGTTTTGGCGCCGCTGTCTCGGCTCTGATCCAGTAGAACGCAGAGCTGCACTTATGAGAAGTACGCGGCTCGAAATGGCTGTTATTTCAAAGAACGTGGACTATTTTAAACTACGCGGTTAACCGGTTTCAACCGGTTAATGAGGCTCGGTGGTCGGTCATGAAAATTCATAGTTTTTTACATCCCTACTCACCACAGAACACCACCCTCTTTATGGCACATTTTGTGCCAAGCTCTCCTCCTGCATTTTTGAATGGGACCAGGAGGATGTGCAAGGCCTGAAGGAGGCCAAGAGAGGGGAGTGGAAGAGCAGCCACAGTGGACATGAGCCCCCGGAGGAGCAGCTCTTGGCAACCATCACCTCAGGGGAACAGAGGAGACACTGCAGGAGGAGGTCACGTGGCGTGGAGGACATACGGCGCATGATTTCAGGGCTGCTGGAGTCAGTGTGGGAGCTCACTGACACCATAGGGCTGCGTTTGGTGAACCATGACACCATGCACCATGTGTGGGAGGTGCTGCAGAAGCACCTGGAGTGCCTCCAAGACCCTCCTGGTCTAAAGCTCTACACCAAGGTGGGGACACTCCATAAGGGCGGCAAAGAGCTGGACGTCCTTAGGTGTGGCAGGGGGTCCTCCTCCCTGGAGAGTTTTCACCGACACCAGTGCGCTTTTATCCCAGGTACATTTGCATTGATATTGTATTGTATGTTTTTAATGTTCTTTTGTGATATGACACACAATGTGCTGTAATGATTACGAATAACACAGTTATTACGACAGTTTGGCATTCATATGTATTCACTTTACTAAACAGAGTGTTGTATTTCTTAGGCTGGCGGTGCAATGCATCTCATATGCATATGTACATGCTGGAGGGGCTATCCAGGTGGAACATGGCTCGGGCCAAGGAGGCAGTAGCTGTGGAGGGGGCCTCGGCTCTACGGAGTTTTGACGTCCGCCTGATGTCCCACCTTAACAGCCTGAGCCAGCGTGTCCTTGGTTGTGCTCTAGTGCCAGAGCTTACCCCTCCTGGGAAACCCACTGGTAAGAGAGATCTCAGAGCAACATTTGTAGACCAGAGTATTACATCTTGGGTGCTAGTATTGTACTAACTGTAGGAGGTGAATGGATGGATGTGTTTATATACTTGTCATCTTGTGTTTGTGTTTATACTGGTTTCAGACGAGCGCACGGCGGTGGAGTATTTATTGGGCCAGACCAACAGAGGGGACCTGCTTGCTCCTGCCCCTGCCCCTGAAAACCCCTCACAGGTGCTTGAGGAGGAGGAGGAGGAGGAGGCATATGCCCCCATACACATGCCAGAGCTATTGGCTGGTGATGCGAGGGACCAGTTGTTGGAGGGGGACACTGAACCCACTGAACCTGTCACACCCAAGGTCAATAACACTTTCTGAAAAACACAATGCTAGCCTGAGTGAAATGCAGCTCGCGGAAATTCAATTTGGAAGACGTCAGCCAAAGCCACCCCTTCCAGGCCTCACATCCCCAGCCTATCGCACAGCAAACGCCCTCTTCCAATCAAGCGGAGAAACTCCCACTTCACGGCCTTCTCAAAGCCTTGCAAAGAGTCGTTCTGGAGGAATCGCTTTTGTCTACTCACGCTTACTCGTGCGTGTCCCTGCTGTCCTCTGTCTTGCTGCGTTGTGGTCTGCTCCTCCTCCGCGTCGCTGCACCTGCTGCGGGTCTCGTGCTGTGGTCCGTGGGTCTTTGCCGCTCTCCTCCTTTGCGGGCTCTTTCTGCGGGTTCGCCGCTGCTCGTCTCGTCGCGGCCTGCTGCTGCATACGGCCGGTCTGGCCCGGTGCGGTGGGAGCCGTGCGCATCCCTGCCTCCTCGTGCCGATACGCCGTGGTCCCGTTGTGTTGTCCCTTGTCTTCTGGCGTTGTGGGTAAGTATGAGATCTGCGGACGGTTTATTCCCCTCGCATTGTACAGCAAGCTCAGTTGGCCCCGCGCTTTGTACTGCAGGCTCAGTTGGCCCCTCACATTGGACTGCATGCTCTCAGTTTTAATCCCTCACTTTGGCCTGCAGGCTCTCTTTAAATCCCTCTCTGGACTACGAGCTTTGTTTAAATCCCTCTCTTTGGACTGCAAGCCATGTTTAAATCCCTCTTGGACTGCGGCTCCCAAATTGAAGCCCTCACATTGGACTGCGAGCTCTCAGTTTAATCCCTCACGGAACTGCTTATATCTGGAACTGCTTATATCTGGAACTGTTATACCGTATATGGAACTGCTTATATCTGGAACTGCTTATGTCTGGAACTGCTTATATATGGAACTGCTTATATATGGAACTGCTTATATATGGAACTGCTTATATATGGAACTGCTCATATATGGAACTGCTCATATTGGAACTGCTTATACCTGGAACTGCTTATATGGTACTGCTTATACCTGGAACTGCTTATACAGTATATGGAACTGCATATATTGGTACTGCTTATATCTGGAACTGCTTATATATAACAAACAAAAAAAAAAAACAAAAAAAGAACTGCAGGCTCTGTTGGATCCCTCACACTGGACTGTAAGCTCTCAGTTTAAACTCCTCACTTGGACTGCGGGCTCAGTTAATCCCTCACTTGGACCGTAAACTCTGTTTAAATCCCTCACACTGGACTGCAGCTCTCGGTTTAATCCCTCACTTGGACTACAAGCTCTCAGTTATAAATCCCTCTTTTAGGACTGCGGGCAATGTTTGAATCCCTCACTCTGGACTACAAGCTCTCAGTATTAATCCCTCACTTTGGACTACAGGTCGTTTAACTCCCTCACACTGGACTGCAGGCTCTCAGTTAAACGCCTCACTTGGACTGCGGGCTCAGTTTTAATACCTCACTTTGGACTGCAAGCTCTGTTTAAATCCCTCACATTGGACTGCAAGCTCTGTTTAGGTCCCTCTGTGTCTCGTGTCCCGCAACCTCTTCCCGGCTCTTCGTGAGCCCCAAGTCGTCACGCGGCTCGGGCGCGGGAGGTGTCCGTGGGCTACGTCATTGGCCCCTTCTCTCCGTCTCGCTCTAACCCGATGGGCATCGCCACCCGCAAGCACTCCAGGAAGCAGCGTCTCATATTCGTCCTCTCCTGTCCCCGCTCCGGGCCCGCCCGAGCATCAACAGCCCCTTCCCTCCAGCGCCCTTCTCCCTGCAGTCCGCTACCGTGGACCACGCGATCAGGCTGATAAGACTTTCGGCCCCGGCTCCTGGCTCTCCAAGGCCGTCATCCCGGACGCGTTCGAGCTGCTGCCCATCCACCCCGACCACTGGCGCTGTTCAGGGGTCAAGTGGCGTCGGAGTTCTTCTTCGCAGTGCGCCTCACCTTTGACTGCCGGAGTAGTCCCTCTCGTTCAACAATCTCTCGGAGGCGCCGTGTCGGTTTCTGCTTAATTTCGCGCGGCTCCCCTCTGTCTGCATCTCCCCGATGATTCCCTCGTAGTCAACCCTCCCTCAGACTGCTCCGGGGGCTCTCTCCGCAAGCTCAAGCTCGCCTTCTCTGCCCTCGGATTCCTTCACTCCGGAAAGACCACAGGCCCCGCCAACGCTCTGGAGTTTCTCGGCATCCGCCTCGACACACGCGCCATGGAGGCCTCCCTCCCGCTGGTCAAGCTCGAACGCATCCGCGCTTTCTCCCGGTCTGCCTTGTCCTTCCCGACACTTTCGAGGCGTCCTTGCTCTCCCTCCTCGGGCATCTTAATTATGCCATCCGTATCATTCCCCAAGGTCGTTCTTTTATTTCCAGACTCCTCTCCCTCGCCGGCTCCGTCTCCTCCCTCAATGACGCTGTCTGCCCGGACGCGGGGTGCCGCTCCGACCTGGCGTTCCGGTCCCGTCTGCTGAGCCGCTGGGATGGTGTATCTTGCTCCGCGCTCCACGAGATATATCCCGTGACTGTAGCCTGCGTGCTGCGGAACCATACGTGGCATAGGAAAAGGATTTCCGTGACGTGCGACAACCTCGACGTCGTTGAAATAATTAACAGAGGTCGTTCATCCTCTCCCCAAATCATGTCTTCCTTAGACGCATCACATGGCTCTCAGTCCTGAAAAATGTATCATCACTGCTCGTCACGTCCCTCGTCACCTAACTGTCTTGCTGACTCTCTCTCTCGCTTTAAATTCCAGGAGTTCTGACGCCTTTGCCCTTCTGCCAATTCATCGCCATGCCAGATCCCCTGCATGGAATCCCTCGCCCTGGTCTAGTCCCTCCGTCTCTTCACCTTCTCTCCTCCGCTGCATCCTACATGAAAATGGGCTTCTTACGCATAAGCGAATTCACAAACTCTCACGCCACCTTTAATGCATCCCGAGACATTGCCTTCTCTGACCTGTCATATTTTCCCGACTACTTCAACCTCCACCTCAAGAATTCCAAACGCAAAGGCGCTTGCAACATAGTCATAGCTCGGTCTGACACTTCTCCCTGTCCCTACAGATCCATGATGCATTACACTCGCCTCCGCTCTCGGAAAGGAGATCTCAACGGACCGCTTCCTCACTCCCGATAACCTCCCCATGACATCCAACTGGTTCAGAGCCCAACTCAAGTCTGTACTGCTGCTTGTAACTTGTCCCCTCATCTCTACACAGCTCACTCTTTTCGGATAGGCGCTGCCACACGCGCCGCTTCCCTGGGTCTCCCCATTCTGCCCCTCAGCAGCTGGGCCGCTGGTCATCATCGGCCCTCTCCTCATACATCAGGCCGGACACTTCGACTATTCTGGCAGCCCAGCGTCTCTTGGCATCTCCATAAACCACTCGCAAACTTCCTGGTGGCGGCAGCAGCTGAGCATCTATAGATAGCGGTCACAGTATATAGCGGTCACAGTATATAGCATATAGCGGTCACAGCATATAGCGGTCACAGTATATAGCGGAGCTGAGTATATAGCGGAGCTGAGTATATAGCGGAGCTGAGTACATAGCGGAGCTGAGTACATAGCGGAGCTGAGCACATAGCGGAGCTGAGTACATAGCGGTCACAGCATATAGCGGTCACAGCATATAGCGGTCACAGCATATAGCGGTCACGACGTCTGTCCCCTGCAAACCAGGCCTGCAAAACTCCATCAACACACAGCCTTTTGGGGATTGTGCGCGCACTCTCGCAGGAGCCTCGCTGACTGAACGCCGCACCGGGGCCTAGGGCGCCAAACTACCTTTCAATAAAATACTTCAAAGGCATTCTTGTTTCCTCGTCTCTCCAGATTGAAATGCAGCTCGCGGAAATTCAATTTGGAAGACGTCAGCCAAAGCCACCCCTTCCAGGCCGGCCTCGCATCCCCAGCCTATCGCACAGCAAACGCCCTCTTCCAATCAATCCGTGCTGGCCAGGCCAGCCGCTTAAAAGCGGAGAAACTCCCACTTCACGGCCTTCTCGAAGCCTTGCAACCAACGCCTCCCCTCCTCCTCCTCTTCACCCTGCCTCCAATCTGCCTCCAATCTGCTTCCTGCTGCCAAATGCCGCCACCAGTGCCTAGGTCCCGGGGGATTGTGCGCGCACTCTCGCAGGAGCCTCGCTGACTGAACGCCGCACCGGGGCCTAGGGCGCCAAACTACCTTTCAATAAAATACTTCAAAGGCATTCTTGTTTCCTCGTCTCTCCAGATTGAAATGGAGCTCTTCGCGAAAATTCACTGTGGTAGACCCGGCCGCTGCTGCCAGATCTACAAGGCTGCTCATCCTCTACTCATTACACCAGCAAAACGCCCACATCTAATCCACCAATAACCACCAGGACAGCAAGTTAAAAGCCGGAGACGCCCACTTCCCGGCCTTCTGAAGTCTGCAAGCCTCCGCCGCCCCACCTCCTCCTTCTCTCATCGAAGCGTGCTTGCCTACTGCCTCTGCCGTCACCAGTGCCTAGGCCCCGGGGGGGATTATGCGCGCGATCAAGCGCCACGCTCAACAGCATCTCTCCCGGGCCTGGGGCGCCAAACATGCTCAATCAATAAACTTCTAACTGCATTTTCCCTCTTGGGTCTTTCCAAAGTGAAATGTGGTTACATTTTAAGAACATAAATGAATGTGAAATCACCATTGCACACATAGAAAGAGACGGCATGGCATGGTGGCTGAGTGGATAGCACTCTCGCCTCTCAGCAAGAAGGTCCTGGGTTCGAATCCAGGTCGGACCAGGGCCTTTCTGAGTGGAGTTTGCATGTTCTCCCCGTGTCTGCGTAGGTTTCCTCCGGGTACTTCGGTTTCCCCTACCACTAAAAATATGTCCAATAGTTCTGGCATGTGCCTCCTGTACTGGCGACCCCACTCCCATCTCTGTGTGGAGAGAGAGACAAATGCCCAAAAATTAACAATTGTAAACCGCTTTGAGACTCAGATCTGAAGTGAAAAGGCGGTATATAAATAAAGATTACTACTAAAGATTACTTCTTGTTTTGTCTCTTTTCAGACCAGCCAATGTGACTCCAGAGGTGTTGTGGGATGGGAGAGTGTGGACGCCCTGGCAGCCTATCTCGTTGGCCTGAACCGCACCACCACTGCTTTGTCAGCCAAGGAGGAGGCAGACATAGTCCGTCTGTACACAGCTCTCCATGACATGGACAAGAGACCTTCAAGGTACAAAGAGTAATGATTATGTACTCCATGATTATACATACATTCCATTGAGTGAATGAAGCATATGGATGTCTTTGTCACTGTTTAGGTACAGCCAGAAGGGTAAAAAGAAGGGACAGGTGTCAGCAGGACCATGGAGAGCACCCAGAAAGCCCAGTGGCTCTGCTCCAGGATAGCAGGCGGCAGAAAGGTGCTTGACCACAACTTGCTCTCCTCTTGGTTCAATGCTAATCATTGACATAGAGACATGTCACCATGTTACGTTCAAATTCTGTTATCGCATTCCCTGTTCACATTGTCCCTTGGTTCTGCATGACTTTACATACTTGTTCAGTCCAAAACCTATGATGTTTTTCTCCCACAGACTGTACATGACTCATGGCCAAGCAGCTCAGGACCCTGAAGCAAACAGAGTCAGTGAGTGTGTTTGCCTCAGACTGGCCAAAGAGTTTGATCAGGCACGCAACAGGCCAAAGGACGTAAAGGGCAAGACCATGCCCATCCCACAGTCCATCGTCAGTGTCTACAGCCACCTCAGACAGCTGCTGGAGGACAGCAGGGTGGTCCTGGGTCAGACCAACGTGGTGCTGGTACCAGTCAACAACACCACTGTCTCCTCATGGTATGTGTTGTTTTATTTATCACAGCACATGTTTGTATGAAGTTGAAAACAGACATAACAATATAAGAACTGTTTCCTTCTTATCAGCTCCTTTCCTTTCATGTCAATGTTTAAATGATATGTAACTTTCAAATGATCACTGTGTGAACAATGTAATGAGAGGAAACCTATCATCAAAGGAACACATGAATACAAATACAAATGTACCTTTCCCAAACAGTCACCACAGTGTAAAGATGTATCTTCAGTGTAATAAACTGTGTAATGACCTTATGGAGGACAGGTTCATCTGTATCAAAACATGAATGTTTGTCTTGTAGGCTGCTCAGGAGGGACAAGAGGAAGGACAGGGACATGCTTCTGCAGGGCACTGTTCTTCCAAAACAGCTGCACCAGGCCAAGGAGCCTCTGCCCTCAGTGAGCACTCTCCCTGCTGCCCCTGAACCACATGCTCAGGAGATGACTTTTGAAGAGCCTGAGAATCGTGAGGGAGAAGCTTTCCCCCGCCAGCGAAATGTTGCAGGACCCAGCCAACCTGTGCCTCATCCACCACCTCCCACTTTCCCTTCACAATATGGACCAGCTCCTCCTCTCCAGCAAGCTCCTCATTTACATTACCCTCCTCCATTTCCCCATGTTCCTCCACATCTGCACCCCCAAGACCCTTATCCTCCTCCATTCCCCCATGCTCCACCTTTTCAATATGCTCCTCCACTTCCACAAGCTCCTCCATTCCCTCAAGCTCCTCCACTTCCCCATGCTCTCAGCCAAGGCAGCGTGCATGGAGGCTGAATAAAGCTGCCCAGGAGGATGAGCAGCGAGCATTAAGGGGCGAACCACCGAAGAAGAGGTTGGCCAAAGAAAAGTACCACTACACCTGCAAGCAGTGTGGTGAGGACAAGAGCAAGACCACAGGACACACGCAGGTGAAGGGGCGGGGGTACTGTCCGGCCTCAGGTCTGACCCTGGAAGACTGGAGGAGGAGCCTCAACTGAGAACACTGTTTTTTCCTTTTTTATTTGTTATATTATTTGTGAATAGTTTTCTAAGAATATATTGCACTGTGTTTTAGGTGTTTGTTTTACCAGTCTTAATAAGCTTTGATCTCTGTGTCTCTCTCTGTCTCTCTGTGTCTCTCTGTCTCTCTCTCTGTGCCTCTCCATGTGTCTCTCTGTGTGTGTGTGTGTCTATCTGTATGTTTCTCTGTGTGTGTGTGTGTCTATCTGTATGTGTCTCTCTCTCTGTGTGTGTGTGTCTATCTGTATGTGTCTCTCTGTGTGTGTGTGTGTGTGTGTGTGTCTATCTGTATGTTTCTCTCTCTGTGTGTGTGTGTGTGCCTCTCCGTGTGTGTGTGTGTGTCTATCTGTATGTTTCTCTCTCTCTGTGTGTGTGTGTCTATCTGTATGTGTCTCTCACTGTGTGTGTGTGTGTGTGTGTGCCTCTCCGTGTGTGTGTGTGTGTCTCTCTGTGTCTCTGTGTGTCTATTGTGTGTGTGTCTCTCTCCTCATCCTGTCTGCTTTCTGGTTTCTAGTTTTCTCTGTTGTTTAATGTTACAATAAAGTTTATAGATATCTTATACCAGATGATCCTCGTTTATTTCATTTCCTTTAAAAACAGGAGTGTGTGTGTCTCTCTCTCTGTCTGTGAGTGAACCTCATACTCTGAAAAACTGAAGCCAGAAACACTTATTAGATTTATATATTTTTTTATTATTATATATTTATTCTCATAACCCAACACATCCACACGCAGTTATACACGGTGAATACATTGTTTTGTTGATACTGCCACCTGGTGGGCCATATAAACGTCCAAAGCGCTGTGTTACTTGGGGAGCTTGCAGGTTCGAATCCCACAAGAAACATACAAATTGAAGTGATGATACACCTTGCTTTAAGTGATGAAGTGAGGTTTGGGTGAGTGGTTGTGACCCCAGACTGGGGGTTCAGAAACTGGGGTTCAATTCCCACCTCAGACACCTTTTCACTCTCAAAAGGGCAATTTATGTGTAGTGAGCAATTGTCACCTGTAGAGGGCAGTATTGTGTTGGGCATCAGTGGAGAGAAGAGAGAAAAGGCAGTCCTGTGGCATAGATCCATGGTTTTCAATGCATGGGCGTTACCCGCTAAGACGTCACACACAGGTTAGAGCATAGACAACTTAAATTCATGAAAAACACGTTCTTTTTATAAAATATAGGAATTTTTTTGCCAGAATCTATTTCAGATCGACATTGTCATGCAATTTTGATATCCACATTTTTTTTTTTTTAAACCCGGCATAAGGTCTTTAATACACATGGAACTAAACCTACTGCTGTCTCAACAAAAGCGAACTGTCACAAAAACAAAACCTCAAAGTGACAACTGAAAAGAGACAAACCAAATAAAAGCTGTACGGACCATCAGGACTGCCTTTAAGTCATTGTCACCCCTTGTGACAATGACAGACACTTTCTGAAGGACAATTTGGCATACCAGCCACACAGGCTGGCAGCCTTGAAGTATGAGAGTGACTCCAGGTGGGAAAGCTGGATTGGCCAGATGCACCGCTGCTCCTCCAATCAGCACTTGAGTCACGGACGTCGGGAGATTGTGCCCAATCACAGGCCAGGGATTTCAACAGGAGGGATTGCCACACACACACAACACACGAAAAATCCGAAACAGGAGCAATTTACAGGCCCAGGGCCGTAACAGTAACAACAGGCTGAATAAGCTTGTGAAGAAAACTAATGTCTGGATTTACAAAAACAATTTCACAATAATCACAAATGCCTAACAATAAGAGAGGAAATAATAAATCATTGCTAACCATTTAGAGGAAATAACTTGTGTTGCTTTAGGGTGAATTCATGAGAAGCAGAGGGAGATATAATGGCAACAGCCACGCTCATGTGAGATGTCTGATTGTGCTTCTGAATCTACACTTGATGCCAAATTTGTACTTGCTATATGTCAAATATACTGCACTTTGTCAAATATACTACTGTGTGCCTGTGTACAAGGAAGTAGTAATTTTCTTAGACACAGCAATCCAAGTGGATTTGAAATGTTGCCTTTCCCTGAGATGATCTGCCCCTATGAATGCTGATTATTAAAGGCACATCGCGGACTTTGTGACCTAAAGAGTTGACACATATGAGTTATTTTATATGAATACTTGGGCCAATATACAGCGCTTGACACTTGCAATGCTCCGAGCGGGGCTGCCCTCTTGAAATACCGCCCATGTAAGTTTCGAGCAGACGGACCGTCTGCCACCAGGTCACGTGACTTGGAAGAAAGACTTGCTTTACGGCTACAGGCGCTGATATACTCATGGAGCTAAGGCTTTTGCTACTCATTTTTCACCTGCTCGACTCCTGGTCATGGCTGAGGCAAGGAAAAATTTTAAACCTTCGGAGGAGGCTAAAAAGAGGAAACGCGAAAGGGATCGTGCTGTAAGCTGCATGTCTGTATGAGCGCTGCTCTTCACCTGGTTCCTGGATGTCATCGACTGCAAAGATGTCATTCCACGCAGCACGAGCTAGACGCAGAACTCCCTCATCCAGGATATAGAAGTCCATGTGTGGTAGATTACTAATGCAGCGGTCTGGAGGCTGACCACAGCAGAGTCTCTCAATATCTGTAGGCATGTCTCTACAGTTTGAACACACACACCAGTGCATGCTGTCTGAATACACACTCAAAAGACACCGGCTGACTGTTTGTTGACTTTTGCGACAGTGCTGAGTTGCTTGTGGCCACTAGGGGCGCTAAACGTGAAAGTTGCAGGTCTAGCGCCCCTAGTGGCCAAGAGTTACACGGTGTGCCTTTAACTATAGTTATCTTGGGCAAAAGCGTACGCAAACAGACAGAAGTTTAGTTTTTATTTGCAAGGCGAGAAGGAAGCAATGACTGGGATGAGAATTGGATGGAAAAATTTACCTTTTGCTCGTTCTGCCACCAACATAAACATGCAATTTCACACACACACAATTTTAACTGCACCTTCTATCCTTTTCCACACATTTTATAGGACCCGATTTCAAACACCAAGGGGCCACACATATATAGTATGGTCGTTTCAAGCTGTAGTTTTGTCTATAAGGATGGCTCATGGATGTATTATGGGATAGATTATTGTGTGCAGGTCAAGTTATTCAAGTGTCCAGAGATTGCGAGTTTGTTCAGATATGTAGGGAACAATCATTTACATGCCTTGACTTTCTCTGCTGACTTTATCAATGTCCACCATTTGGTCTCACTTCTGCATAATTCTTGATTAATTGAGAGATCCTGACAACGTGAATGTCCTTGGGAACAGCATCATAGTCCGACCACAGATATTCTGGTGATAGGACTTTAGTTGGTTTGTTGTATAGAAAGTATCTATCAAATAGTAAACAAGTAAATTAGTTATAACCATATAAAGATATAGTAACTTGTGTAAAAAATGCCAAACTGGGATTTTACTTGTTGAGATGACTTTCCTCTTGCCATGCAGCTTCTATTCCGTTATCAGCATCTTCCAAGGATTTGTCATTACAGTGTCTAAACCAACAAGTAAAGACAGAGTATTAATTATTGACATGATTAAACATTAAGTAAATCCACAAAAAGCTTACTTGACCAGCTTGTACATATCGTCTGTGTAACCACCCCACACAGCTGCAGTGTAGTAGAAGTCTCCTTTTCCATAAGGTATGAAAGCACGAGATTCAGGACGGCGCTCATATGGAAAATGGTCACGGTGTGTATCCTATTGAGTTATTGAGCAGAAAGTACAGTAATATTTACATAGAGCCTAAAGAAGCCTTCAGCTCTGGTTCCCAAGTGGTTACAGGAAGCCACTAGGGTTCAGGGTTACAGCTTGGTCTCGTTGTTTCCTTTATGTAAAGTTTATTTTAGGGCATGCTTTGTATTTAGTTGAGTTACATAAGACCAGTTGACTAGTCTAACACTAAATTAGAGTTATTGAGTTTAAAATTTATAGAACATGTTTGGGAAAAATTGTGAGTGAAAGTAAGAAATACTTATGTTGAAATAGTATCATTAGTATTTGCATTTATAGTCTAATACAATATTGTGACAATACTGTGTGTGATAAATAATAACTAGAGTCCAATAAATGTGAAGGTATGACGTTCGGTGAGACCAGATGACATGATTCAACTGATTCTCACGGTCTACTCTACCAGTTTTTTTCTGTTCAAAGTTTATGTAACAAAAAGACTATGTAAACCTTTAGCTATTAATTTATCAATTTCTGATTATATTTAGAGGTTTTCTTGAAGAGATCAGGTTTAAAATGATGTACAACATATAAACGACTTAATCTCAAAGTTTGTAAGATGACAATAATAATAATACTAATGAAAATAATAGTTATGATCATTAGAACCCCCTCCCTCTGGAGTTTTGTACCCTGGGTGGGAAACACTGGCCTAGGATACCACAGATATACTGTATACAAACTAATTATTATTCTTAAAATTGCTGAATTATTACATACAACAGAGAACAATCAATGACATTAAAAAAATCAACCTTGTAATAACCACGATGAAGCACAGCTATCAGTCGACTCAGAGACTCTGCTCCAAAACGATATCGAAAGACGCTGTCGATGTCCATCATAAAAAGGTAGTCAGCGTCTTTATGAAGCTAAATCATCACATGATTTTAAATTTAAAACTTTTACAAGCAAGTACATTTTTTGTGTCATTACTTACCCCATTTTCAATCGCATCAATTGCCCGCTGCATCTTGCTAAGTACCACCTCCTGCCAGCGGTTTGCACTGGGAACACTCAAGACTAACATGTTTCTGCCAGGAGCCAGGCTCACCTGCAGGGCAGAGTGGATACAGTCCGTGCATCAAGTCATTTACCCTCAATTGTTTTTTGATTCATACCTGTGGAACCTCCTTTTCATTGTCTGTATAGATGTAGTATGTCACTCTGAATCCAACAAAAAAGTATTTTTCCCCTGACTCCAAAAAACCTTTTATAAATCTTGTGTATCTATTTGGTAACAGGCACACACGCACGCATACCAATGTTGAGCAACAATATACGAAGCAAGTAGCAATCATTATTTGATTCATGAACCATGGGGCAGTTTTCTTACTTGCCAACAGCTAAAACCAGGACAGCAATTCTGGGGTTAATGCTTTTATAGATATCATCTATCACGGCTGGATCGAAGGTTCCATCCCAAACCAGGGGAACGTTCCAGTTGGTCACTGTGTTCACATCACTGCGGCTGAGAAAGAAAGACATGTCATTATGAAAAGACAACATGGCTCAGAGATTTAAAAAATAATTACAAAAAATCCATTTAACCGTTACCCAATCTGAGTGCTTGGTTGAGTATAATTTAATCTGAAATCAACAGAATTATTATTATTTTTTTATTGAAAACATTTCAAAAACCTCCTGACCATCTGCATTTATTATTAAGCTAAAAAAAATCTTTTACAAATATAAAATATGTTATTATCAATATAAATCCCAAAATCCTGATTCCAAATTCAAACCTCTTGCAACAGTGTCCAACTATTAACTACTCTGGTCATCAAATTATATCATTATTATCTAATTATCTTATAACAAAGTAATATCCAAACCTACTTGATGTTCTGGCATATCTTAATATTTACAGTCTGTGGGCATGCCTGGATATATGAAACTAAGTATCTATTTTCATATGAAGGATAATAGCTCTAATTACGTGAAATAAGAAAACATTATATGCTCATTTCAATGAAATTGAATATTTAAACACACAGAGGCAAAATCCATTACCCCGGATTCATCAGAAGATCTTCATTGTGGCAAACGTTGAAAAGCTCAGGTGCTTTTGTAGTGAGAAGCTTCTTCGTATGGAACGAAGAAGCTTCGTTCTTCGTTCCATACAGATTTACCCAAAACCAAACAAGCCTTCCAAAAAAAAAACATATTCAAAGTTGGACAAAAACTATATTTAATTTAAACATCTTTATTTTTAAAGGACTTTAGAGTTGAACAGTTAAGGAGTTGAATGCACTAATGAAATGCATGGCACAAAGCCGGTCAAGTCAGGACATTATTTTACATTTATGGAGTTGAAGATTTTACTAGAAACTCTCTGGTAGATGTATAACCCAACAAATAAAAAGCATGGCTCAATGCGAGAACAATATGGAACACCTCATCAATGGTGGGAATGTTTTGTCATTTAAATTGTCTAACTTACATTTAGACATACATTTGTAACTATACATAAGCATAAGATGATCATAAAATGATCTACCAGTGGTCTGAGTCGGTTAGACCATGCTTAAGCCTAGCGTACATCGGACTGGCAACTGATTATATCCGTCGCATATGAGTTGCTGCCCCGCACACATCGACAATCTGACGAAAACGGGCAACTCCCAGTAGCAGACCAGTCTCGGGAATAACAGCGCGTACATCGACAGCAACTGGCCTCAACTACAGTGTGTTTTCTGACATAAACTGTTGCGGGCTCGCAATACACGCAATACACACACGTTGTCGGAGCGGCGCATGGAGCGCGCACATCGGGTCAACTGAGGACAACTAGTTGCCGAAAAGTAGAACACAGTAGAAAACAGTAGAACTGACTGAAACTGGAGACCGACTGTTCATCCCCATCATCTCCTCTCAGTTGCCAAAAGCCGCCTTGCAACTAGTTGTCCCCAGTTTCTCTGTCTCTCTTCATTGTAGAGCACTTTGGGTGACCTTGGTCTGTAAACTGCGCTATATAAAAAAACATTACTTAATTACTTGTTTGCACACATTATTTGCCTTTTTGAACGGAAATCTTTGAATTAATTCTTAAAACCTAATGTACTAAATGTAAAATAAACTATATACACACAGATCCTTCACCACTCAGACATATATTTCACTCTCATTCTAATTCATTCAGACCTACATCTTATAGGCTAAAAAATAATTTAACTTAATTCAATACATAAAAACTTACGTCAAAAGCACCAGACAAACTCCAACCCATGTTAAAAATGTAATCTTGTTTGGTGGCATCTCTCTTTTCTGTCCACTACGCATAAATGTGCTTCCGACTTCATAGCCTCCGATGGAAAAGAAAGGGAGGAGCTTGTCCAAATGATCCAGTGCTGGTGAGTTTGTTTGTTTAGCACAATTCAAACAAAAGGCAACTCAAAGTGCTGAACAAAATAAGAAAGCATTAAAATAAAAAAATAATCACAGTACATCAAAAATGAAAGACAAAAATATTAAAAAGTTTTAAACCTGGTTTTACAGTTTTTCTCAGTCAGTGGTGCATTTCTCAAAACAATTAGTACAAACTGCAAAACCTTGTGGATAACCTGCAAATGTGCCTCACTTTCTCAAAAAGAAAAGTTTATTCCTCAAAAGCAACTCTTCATTTCAATAAAACTGTTTGTTTTTCAAAATAATAAGTCCTGACACCAGTGTTTATGAACAACATAATCAAATGTTTTCATTGTGACTCTTTACTCTCTGTGTTTTCATTGTGACTCTTTACTCTCTGTGTTTTCATTGTGACTCTTTACTCTCTGTGTTTTCATTGTGACTCTTTACTCTCTTACGATGGTGTGCTAAGACCAGGCTATTATGTTATACTGTATTTATACACTCATTTCCAGTATTGTAGAACCTGTTCATGGTATATTGACAGTTTTATGGGCAGTTTAGATAGTTGAAGTCACATTGTAAAAGAAACTGAGTGCCACCAACATTTTTGAATATTTTAGCAGGGAGTAGTTCACATGAACCACTGTGTTCATGTGAGTTATAACATTTTGTAACCATCTTAATTTCAAACTGCTACATCATCTTAGTTTCTCCTTCCTTCACAAATGCTTCTGGACCAGCATCAGTTTCATACAATCCTCTGCTGTTTTATTACATTATTGTTTGCTTTTGTCCTGTCAGTCAAAATGAAACATACTTATGAAGCTGAATGGTCATTCACTGTAAAACTAATAGTCTTCATTTCGTCGCTTATAGTGGTTAGAAGACAGGGCGTATGCACCAATGTTCTTTTGAAATCTCTTGTGTCTCTTTCGAAATAACTTGTTTGTCGAGGCTTAAATAGCCACACCATGGGAACGGAGGCTTTGGAGACGCTGCAAAAACATATACGTTGAAAAGTCAGATGGTATCTTGCAGAATGAAGGACTTTGAATATGTTTGCATTGACACGAGAGATAAAATTTCTCTGTTTTCAAGGCTTTGCGTACACAGCCTGGCCAGGATTTCAGATACTATGTCAACATGAAAAAAAAAAATACTCAAGTTCAAACTTGAGCGAAATCAATTGGCAACACTTGAAACAAACAGTGTTGCCAACTCCTCAGTAAGGAAAGTAGCTATTGGCTGTCCCAAAAGTCGCTAGAAGTCGCTAAATGACGTCATCGCCTAATTTGCATAATTTGCAATTTGCAAATAACTTTAACTGACGCTGTAGGAGAGAGGAATAACGTCGTGGGAAAGACAAAAGTGAGTAAAAAACACCCTAAATATGTTTAGAACTACAAATGTACAAACATAATTTCAACATTAACAACATTTAATGATTTTAATGCTTTGTCTAGATCCACATTACACAAAACATCAGTTTTGTCCTGTATACAGCAAATGTAATCAAAAGATTGTTATGTAGGGTGAAATTGCTAGCTCTACAACCAACCCTCCTCCTTTATCCGGGCTTGGGACCGGCAAAGTGACCCAAAAGACACACTCTGGCAGAGTTACTTAGGTTTATTTTTTTAAGTTTTTTTTTTTTTTTCATAGTTTGGCATAACAAATGATTTAATGTGACCCACTACTGAGAGAAAACAGTCACGGACAGAGCTGCCGCGGATGGAGTGGGGGGTAGTGGGGGGTGGCGGTGGTAGGAGTGGCCGGGGAGCTTTGCATGTGTGGTGGTGGTGGAGCTGAAGTTCAGTCTGCAGCAGCCTGAAAACTTCCTGTGCTTTTGAGTCTCCTCTCTCTCTCTCTGCTCCGCCCATAGACTGTAGCTAGGACTGCTGCGCAAGGCTACTGTGAGACTGGCCGCCTGTAAGTGCTTTGGGACGGGGGAGGGGCTCACGTTGAGGACAGTAACTGCAGAACAATACGTGCTTCACACCAGAGTCTCCAAAACACCTGATAAGTCTCCAATAACACCAGAAAAAGTTGCTAGATTTGTTGCTAGTCGCTTTTTTGAAAAAAAGTCGCTATAGGGGTCTGAAAAGTCGCTAAATCTAGCGACAAAGTCGCTAAGTTGGCAACACTGGAAACAAACACATAAAAGTTAATGAGAAATGACAATCAAGCATAATTCATATTTGTAGACTTTATTGTGCCGAAAATGTAACCAAGTTGTGTTGAAAAAACTGCATTTGTTTTTTCATTTATAGGAGAAATTAGAAATACAGTATAATGTACTTACAGCATAACTTAGGAGAAGGATTTTAGATTTAATGCCAATGTGTTTTCCGTTCAATGATCAGTTTTGGCAAATTCAGCGGTTGTGTAAAGTCCTCCGAGATAACTACTGTTGTTATTTAGGGCTATGCAAGAATACATTTAATTGTATATAATATGTTAGACAGCTTTAATTAGTGCATTTCTTACTTGTTTTCAGTTCGCATCCAAATCATGAAATGTATCTTTGCTGCAGGTCCATGATCTCGCTGTGCATGCCGTGGACAAGATCCCTCTTCCTTTGAAAACAGTCAAAGAGACAAAGAACTGCATCAGCATCGAAACCAGCAGCAGAACCATCCAGAGCTTCTTTAATGGCCTCTGTGGACCGTATCACACAAACGCTTCTCGATGTGAGGAACCAGCGAAAAGGGCGAACTCTTTGGATTTAAACGTGGATAAGGCCAGGGCTGAGGAACTGTCGGGACACTCTGCAATGCTGTCGTCTACGGTGGTGACGGTCATGGCACCTCACTGGAGCGGGCGACTGCGCAGGAGCAAAAGGGAAGGGATGTCGGACTTTCAGGGGAACTTGCAAACCAGGACAGAAATCTCCTCGGATGTTGAGAGGATGCTGTCGAGTGGACTGCAAAGCCAGCATCGTGCACCTTTCGTAAGGAGCAATACCGTGGGCTGGTCAGCAAGGAGTGGACCTACAAGTTTGGACAATGAAAGAACAATGCTTACATCTGCCTCTTTGGACAATAAGAGAACCGACAGACCCATCCCGTCGCCTCTCTCCTCTGTCTCCACACCCTCCACTCTCTCCCTTGTCCCCCATGTCCATAGACTTAAACGAACCACAAAGATCGCCGCAAAGGGGCCACTCGCCGCTAAGTTCAAAGCCAACGACGAGCAGCATGCTTTTGTCTTTACGAAGGGTCAACAGTCCAATGAGTCCTACTGAAAATCAAACCCAGAGTCCAGAAAACGTAGACCCCAATCGACAGTTCTCAACCCAATATAGTCAACATTTTCAACATACAAATCAGCTTTCTCCCACTTCCATTTCAAGTAACGTCAACGCTTCCCATTCGCCGTCGCCTACACATAGGGATGGGCTGTCTAAATCGTATAGCTATTCAACGGTGCCAACGAAACACACAGAGTCGCTCTATTCCCAATGTAAAATAAGCAAGGAAGTCATACCCCCTCAAAGATCCCTGAGCAGAGATCATCCAGACAGTATAAGCAAGAAGCCACTGACTTTGCCCAAACAAACGCCTTATGACCACACTGCCTTGTTAAAATCCAATTCGACTCCAAGAAGGCCGCTGCTCTCCACTATTACATGGATGCCAACCGACAACAAAGAAAGCAGCACGCAAGTAGCTTCAAATATTAATAACAAGTCCAGTATGCGTTTAATCACACCGTTTAACAGCAATGATAATCACAAAGACAATGCTGGAATTAGAGGGGAAGTCCCAAATTACAGAGGCAACAAAAACATGGCAGAGCGAAGTGGTAATCTGACGCCGCAGGGAGGGCCAGCGATAACAGAAAATTCACCCAACAATCAATCATCACAGCTCAAACCCCAAATTGACTCATGTTGGAACAGGGATCCACCAAAACCCATGAGTTTGCCTGGTGCTTTGTCCAACTCTAAATTTAGCATTGCTGCAACACATACAGCAGTGAGTCAAGCAATACCAACCAATCACAACACAAGCAGTGGTTTGTATACAGCAAAAGGAGGTGAGTTCACTCCTACTTTGCTAAGCCCAAACGGCAGCTATACGACCACAGATAATAGCAGCAAGTATCAAAACATGTACAGTGCGTTGAAAACTCCTTCTGCTATGCCACAATATCAAGAGAAATTGACAAAGCAATCCCACTTGAATGATATCACGAATGCAGTAACTAACGCCAACTACAAGTCGAGCGTAGATTTGGGCCGAAACAGTAAAACGTCTTGTCTGTCCGCTCCAAGTTCCTCAATTTCAGGTTCCAGAGAAGAACCTCTCTCGCCAAAGTTCACCCCTCTCGGCTTTGAGCGCAGCTATGTTCCAAAACCCATCCATCTGTGGTAAGACGGGCTTTGGAGACCTGTGCTGGTGTGCTCTTACCTGCCGCTCCGTGGCGCTGGCCCGGTGGGCAATAAAAGCGCTCCCAAATCTCAGCTGTATTCCTCTTTGCCCACACACTCTTCCGGGCCCTTGTGTTGGCCGCCTGTTCACCAGCTCCAGATAAAGTCCCGCTCTATGTCCAGTTTCACGCAATATCCCTCTAAAATTCCGTCACTTAGTAGTCGCTTCACTTTCCATTTAGTGCCACTGTCTGATCACTGCAAAATACAGCATTTCCTCGCTGCTCTGCACCACTCTGGTGCGCGCATCCGTGCACTGTGTTACAGGTAAGATCGCCTTGGCCCATTCTCTCCTCTGTGCCTATTATGTGTACATTATAAAAGCATTAAAGTGGCGTCTGGATTTCAGCCACGCTGCAGGACTGGCCGTGCCATCAGGCAGCCTGCTCCATGCGCCATCCCTTGGCCTTTCAAGCCGGCACCGTGCGCAGTTGCTCACCTCAGCGGTATGTCTCTCTTCCATTTTTGTAGTTCCCCACTTTTTCATTTAGGATTTGGTTTAGTTTAGTAATCTTCCAAAATTAATATTCTTTCTAGGTGTCCTCAGAGGTCTGCAGTGGCACTGACACGTTGCCTCCTGCTGTTTTTGCCTCCTGCTGTTTTGCTCCTGCTGTTTTGTCTACTGCTGATTTTGTATCTGCCTAAAGTGCAGTTTTACTGTTGCCTGTTTTTGTGTCCCACTTTGCCTGCTCCTCCCCGTCTGGTCCAGGTCGCGCGCTGCGCACTGGTGTGTCCCTTCAGACGGCGAGCAGAGACGCGGACCCGTGCGCACACTCTTTGCCCTGGGTTTTGCCTGTCAGGCGGACATTTCAGGCAATTTACTCGTTTAAACCTTTTATTTCTAAATTAGCGCTTTTTTAATGTGAAAGCACCTCAACTGTCTTAAAATAATTGCTTGATGATTAAATATCTGTTGAATAAAACTGTGAATTAACTGGAACCGGTTGCCTTGTATTTCAATACACTTACTTGTGTGCCTTCAACCTACACTACATTATTTCCCCAGGAAGTCTGGGGTGGCGTTGCTACAACCTCTAAAATCTTTTATTATTTCTCCGATCTGTTAACCCCTCGGTTGCCACATCTTGGCGTTCGCTGACAGGATTATTGAAAAAAAAAAAGAGAAAAAACAAGGCCCGGTTTCCATTTAAGTTGTGAAAGATGCAATGAATTTCATTGAAGTTATGTGGTGTAATTAACGTTTTTTCACTACCAAAGCTAAATCAACTGGTCCTGTGTTGTGCCAATTCAATGCATGTTTATTTGTGTATTTTGCTGTTTTATTTCTGCATGTAGTGTTGTGCTTTAACCATTTGTTTTCTATTGCTGTGTACATATATATGGAATTTGGTTCTCACACTAGCTGGCTTGATATTGCTATTGAAGTGTAAATCTAAAACTAAACTACTATACTGTTACATCTGAATTCATTGTACTGTATCTTGACACTTTACAAGGGGAATTGCTTTCAGTTTTAAGGCAGAGCAGCAGTGTCGGCAACGTGTAGGTTTTTATAATATACTGCGTTTTCTGTGTTTTTTTTTCCCCACGTGCTTTCCAATGGCGGCAGAGGTTCAGAACCTCAAAGATCAGGTGGCCCAGTTAACCGCTGAGAATGAGAGGCTGCGTTCGGACCAGGCTGCCCCTGGTACCTCCAGTGCAGAGTCCTCTGCCATGCCTGCAGCTGCCTCCATCACAGAGCGGCTTATGTATATACCCCGGGACAGGAAATGTCCTATGTTCAGGGGCCATACAGGCATCAGTTTGAGTGAATGGGTCGAGGAGGTCGAAGCATGCATGAGAGCGCGTCACCTGTTCCGTGCAGACCAAGCTTATTTCATGTATGACCACTTGGAGGGAGAAGCTCGACATGAAATTAAGTACCGATCCAGTGCAGAGCGAAAAGACCCAGATAAATTGATCTCCATTTTGCAAGATCTATACGGATGCTCTGACTCCTATGTAGCTTTGCAGGAGTCGTTCTTCTCTCGCAAGCAACAGGAGGGGGAGACCCTGCAAGAGTTCTCCCTCGCTTTGTTGAGCTTAATGCATAAAGTGAAAGCGCATGCTCCAAACGATATGCCCAATTCTGAGGCATTGTTGCGCAATCAATTTATCGAGCATGTGCTGGACGGTGCCTTGCGTCGTGTGCTTAAACAACACGTCCGCCAAAACCCAACAGCAACCTTGCTTGTGGTCAGAGAGGAAGCAATGAGATGGGAGCGTGAGAGGGTCTTCCAGCCAGCGCCCGGGGTCGGAGTAATTCGATGCCTTCAGCATATGGTCTCCAAAACACTGTGCGCGGTGTACCACCAACCCCTACCTACTCCTCGCAGTCTGAGGTAAGTGAAATGAAGGAGCTCCTGAAAAGGCAGCAAGAACAGCTTGACTTGCTTACTCGGAGCATCGCCCTCCTGCAGGCTGAGTCCTCACGTAGTCACTCCCCCCGTCGTCAAGCGCCTGTCATTTGTAACCGGTGCCACCGACCTGGACATATAGCCAGGAATTGCCGTGGATCACGTGGTTCCACTCACTCCCGTTCAGAACAGCAGTCGGAAAACTAGCACCCACCAGGCTGCAGAGCCACAGCTCGGGTGGGGTTCCTACTGGCTCAGGAAACGTTCCTAGTCGTTCCGTTGCTGTTCCAAAACTTATTGCTTCTTGCCCCCATATTAACGTGAACATGGCTGGCGTTATAGTACCATGCTTGCTCGACACCGGGTCCATGGTATCAACCATCACAGAGGGTTTCTTCCGGGAGCATTTTGAGTCTCTGGGCAAAGACCGTCTTCAGGCGTGTCATTGGCTTCAGCTCAGAGCTGCCAATGGTTTAGCCATTCCCTATCTAGGCTATTTGGAACTAGACGTTAAGCTTTGTGGAAAGTTAATGCCTAGGTGTGGTGTACTGGTGGTGAGGGATCCTCCCAGCATGCCTGTGCAGGTTCCTGGTGTGCTTGGTATGAATGTCATCCAGAGGTGTGTTAGGATTTAGCAGACAGAGACGGATCGTGGTGTGCCAAACTCTGGAAGTTTATTTAAGTTTCTCTCAAGTTCCACTAGTTTACTCTGTTTCTTTCCCTCAGACAGAATAAAGGCAGTACACAGTTTATATAGTCATTGTCACGTCACACATCGAAAGACACACGTGTCACAAAGAGACAGTCAAATCATAGTCATAACATGGAGTCCTTGTAGAGTCCTTGTACAGTCCTGCACGTAGGCCATATTGCTATCTAATACTAATACCCTCCCCTTTGATCACATAATCACATGTGATCACTCAATTTGATCAATCAATAAAATGGAAAAAGAAAAAAAAAATTCCAAAAAAAAAAACTTCAAAAAATTATTAAAAACAAAGAAAATGTATGCATTAAACTCATAATCATCAAATCAATATCAGTGGATTTTATCCTCTATCCTGGGAAAAAATAAACAAACAAAAAACAAATCAAAAATAAAAAACAAACAAACCCTATTGGACACACAAGAACTCAGCAGATTCAGTCAAAACACAGACAAAAATCGAGCTGAGTCTCAATTTGAAGCTAATTTCACTTTTATTACTCTATACTTTTATTCTAATGCTAATTGTTTACACTTCACTTATTTCACTGTATTATTACTCTTTTACTACTATTTAACATCTACTAAAACGCTACAATACTTATACTTTATCATTTTAACAGTTGCTCAGTCTCCCAGACTAAAAAAAGTCAAAGTTTTTGTCTGTCAGATGTCTGAATACTTAACATGTATATTGCATTTGTCACAGTTGTGGTTCTGGTTGTAGCAAAAGCATCGGCAATAGA